GGGAGAGGGGCGGAGTGGTGAGGTGGAGTAAGCGAGAGACGCATGGAGAGGGGCGCGCATGGAGAGGGGCACGCATGGAGAGGGGCGCGCATGGAGAGGGGCACGCATGGAGAGGGGCGCGCATGGAGAGGGGCACGCATGGAGAGGGGCGCGCATGGAGAGGGGCGCACATGGAGAGGGGCAGAGTGGTGGAAGCCTGAAACGAGAGACGTGGGTTTGGTGAGTGGTATCGTGGAAGGCGGACCGGGGAGATGACTGTGCAGAGATGGTTGCAGCATGGTGCAGCATGGTGCAGGGTGGTGGAGGGTGGTGGAGGGTGGTGGAGGGTGGTGGAGGGTGGTGCAGATGTAAGCTTAAGCTCACATGTAGTTGAGGTTCTTGAGCCGGCCCAGGCAGCTTGACACGGGCCCTGTGAAGCGATTGGCGCTCAGGCGACTGGGGAGGAGAGAAGGGGAGGGGGGGAGAGGGAGATGAGGAGGTGGAAGAGGGGGAGTTGGAGACATCTCAAGGCCCAGGCCGCTACACACGGGCCCCGTGAAGTGATTGGCGCTCAAGCGACTGGGGGGAAGGGGGGGGGGGAGGGGAGGGGAGGGAAGGGGAGGGGAGGGGAGGGGAGGGGGGGGGGGGGGGGGTTGAGGTGGGTCATGGTGCAGACGACAGTGGGGAAGGTGGAGTTGAGTAGAATGGCGCATGAGAACGATATTGTAACGGAGTGGAGTTGAGACGTGTCAAGCGAAGAGAAGCATGTAATCACGGAACTCACAGCTGGCGCAGGTTGGTCATGGTGCAGACGACCGTGGGGAAGGTGGAGTTGAGCAGGTTGCTGGGTACATAGCTGCCACGAATGGCGGGGAACGGGGTGAGGTGTGGGGTGAACGTGGTGAGGAGTGGGGTGAACGGGGTGAGGAGTGGGGCGGTGAGAAGCGGGGGGTGGTGAGAGGACCAGAAGAAGTGGAGTTGAGCAGGTTGCTGGAAGAGGGGCAGTGGGGGGGGGGGGGAGTGCAGTCGTCATGGTGCCATCTCCCACATGGTATGCGAATGATGCACACTGGCGCACGCACGCGCAGACGCACAGAGGCGACTGACAACTTGTGCATGTTAACAGGGTTGGAGAAGGTGCCTGGATCCAGTGAGGTAGTCGAGGTTCTCACCCACAATGGCATGGCATGGCATGGCATAGCAACATGGCGTGAGGGCGCAGGGAGGGACTGACAACTTCTGCATGTTGACGAGGTTGGAGAAGGTGTCTGGAATGCCCCCCGTGAGGTAGTTGAGGTTCAGATGCCTGCTCGCCCCACAGCCGTGCACGCACACACACGCACACACGGGCGCACACAGGCACACACGGGCGCACAGGGACACAGGGACAGGGAAAGAGGGCGCAATGATGGCAAGAGCATTAAGTTGAACTATGGCCGTGCAAGAGGGGTGGATGCGAGGCACACGGCAAGAGGGGTGGATGCGAGGCACACGGGAAGGGCAGCAGCTCTTGCCACATCACCATACCACCCGCCCCTCTCCCCTCGCCGAGGTGACTTTTGAGTCGACTCAAAGGGCAGCAGCTCTTGTCGCTTCACCATACCACCCGCCCCTCTCCCCTCGCCTAACTCCCACAGCTGGCACAGGCTGGTCGTGCCAGTCACGTCACGCTGTATAGTCACATCACCACATACACCCTCCTTCACTCGTTACACTCACAGCTGGTACAGGCTGGTCATGCGACCCATGGAAGCAGGGATGCTGCCGTTGAGAAAGTTCTGATACAGCTGCCTGCATGGGGGGGAGAAGGGGAGGGGAGAGGAGGGAGGAGGGGAGAGTGGAGTGCATCTTTGTGAGTATGCAGGCGAACAGGCACTCACAGCGGATGCTGGGGCGTGAGAGGAAACGTGGGAGGAGTGATGCAAGGCGTGAGTGAGAGGCGAGTGGATATGCCGCGCGGGGAGTGCGCGGCGTGGGGGACGTGCAGGGCGCGTGGGGCATTCGCCCCAAGGAGGTTGCTGAGAGGCGTTGAGAGGCGTTGAGAGGCGTTGAGAGGCGTAGAGAGAGGCACTGACAGGTTCTTGAGGTTGACGAGTTTGCTGAAGGAGTCAGGAATGTCACCGTAGATCCAATTCTTCACCGCGAAGCTGATTGCCAGCAGTTACACGCACGCACGCACGGAGTGGCACACCAAGGGCGAGAGACATGAAGAAAATAGACAACAGGGAGAAGGCATGGGTGCATGTCATCGTGGGACAGTGGAGAGGCACGGATGCAAATTAAAACCCAAAGTGGGCGGGGTGTGGCCTTTGAGAAGCGGTGGCGGGGGCGGCAGCAGCGGCAACGGCGGCGGCGGCGGGACTCACAATTCCTCCATCTGGGTGAGCGCGCCGATGGCGGAGGGCAGCGTGGCGAAGAGCTGCTGGTAACTCATCTCCATGCGACGGATATAGCCGTTCGTCCAGCACTTCACGAGCTGCCACGTGGCACACGGGTTGGTCGCCACCCACGTGGACAGGTCCGCCGTCTTTCCCCACACGGCCTTGAGCTCCATCATTGGCGCGACTGGCGGGGGGGAGGGGGAGGGGAGGGAAGGAAGGGGGGAGGAGAGGGGAGGTCGAGGCAGAGAGTTGGAGGTAGGATTTGTCGCGACCCACGTGGACCAATCAGCAGTCTTCCCCCACACGGCCTTGAGCTCCATCATTGGCGCGACTGGCGGACAGGGAGGGATGTGGGGAGGGGAAGAGAGAGGAGGAGGTAAGGGGGGTGGAGGGGAAAAGGGGGAGGATTGAGAGAGGAACAGGCAACCACATTCACGATGCGAAAGGTCCGCCGTCTGGCCCCAGTGGCCCACACCGCCTTGAGCTCCATCATTGGCGCGATTGGCGGGCGGGGAGGAGGAGAGAGAGGAGAAGGGGAGAAGGAAGGGGGACGGGAACGAGGGGAGGTCGGCGAGGAGGTGAGCGGGGGACTGAAATGCGGTGGGGCGAGAGCGAGGCGGGGAGAGATGTGGGAACGGCTGAGGGACGGATGGGCTAACGGACGGAAGGGAGGAAAGAGACGGAAGGGAGGAAAGGGACGAGCGGGCGTCATATTGTGGGAGCTGTGGTGGTAGACGGGAGCATTAGATCGTGTGTGACTATAAACCCCAAGTGACTTGGACCCAAGACGACGAGATCACGCTTCCGTCGTACTCTGCGCCCTGTGCACGTGGACGGGTGGCGTTCCCTGGACCCAAATAAAGTGCACGTGGACGGGAGCAAAAGAGAGTGTGTGGATGAACCCGAGTGACTCAAAACGTAAGTCGACTTTTACAAGAGCGACTGTCGTACTTTGCGAGCTGTGCACGTGGACGAGCGAAGCAATAACTGTGTGACAATACACCGTAGCGACTCAAAACGAGCGAGTCGACTCAAAAGAGCGGTCGGTCGTACCCTGCGAGCTGTGCACGTAGACGGACGAAGCACTAACTCTGTGACATTACACCATAGCGATTCAAAACGAGCGAGTCGACTCAAAAGAGCGGTCGGTCGTACTCTGCGAGCTGTGCACGTAGACGGGTGTTCCCTTGGGAGTCACGGTGCTCGTCGTCACCCTCCCCTTCCCTCCTCCCTCCGCCGCCTCCTCCTCCGCTATAAAGTCTTCTACAGGCTCCTCCATTGCTGCTACTATCGAGTCCACGTATGTCGGGTCTGTCACGATCTGCCGCGTGTCCCGCTTCGGGACTTGTAGCCCCGGTGGTGGCTTGGATTCACGTGTGTCTGTCAGCAGTCCGTCTATGATTGACTGACGGTTGGAAGGGTTGACGGATTCTGGCAGCGGGTCAGTCAGGTAGACGGTTTCCGTTCCGGAGGATGGCGAAGGGGCGGGTGCCGGCGCAACGCGAATGGCGATTGCTGGCGACGTCAGAAGGGAAAAGAGCGCGGCGAGAAGGACTATCTGCCGCAGGGTAACCCGACTTCGCGAATGCGCGCCTATCGTCGCCATGCCTATAACTCGCAGAACTCGTTCGCGCTGTTTTAGCACTCGCTAAATGTTCGCAGGTCAGCAAGAGTGTCGTTTTCCTATGATCCGATCTCAAGGCGATGTCGAGGCGACTGATTTGATCCCCAGCCCACTGTTCTCAATGCTCCGGCGTTATGCCTCTTCTAGCGCGCAGGCAAAGGGTCGGCGGCAAGCGGAGGGACAAGCGGGACGGCTACTGGTGCACTACAGAGGACTGCTATACCAATGCGTGCCTTTTCGTCTCTGCGCAAGGACTATCACCGTGCTTTCGAGATTGTCGATTGAGTGAATGCATACAGTACACGATCGGCTGATAGAATGCAGGTGAACGCGGGAGTGGAAGTAGGTGCGATAGGAAGGATGGCCAAGCCGCGGGCGGGAGGTCCGCTTTGAGGAACTGTCTCGTGCACTATCGCGAAGATGCTCATAGCGAGAACTTCGGATAAAGTCGGTGCATGGAGGATGACTTGGATCATCTGCCACCTTCCCCTTCCCAAATGCGTACGCGAGCGCAACCAAAGGGCGGTTGGTGGTGCGAATTGGGTTGTTTGCAACCCCCGCCCCCCCCTCATGGGGCGAGGTCGACGGCGGAGAGCGGAGCTTCAGGAGAAATTGCTGATGGTTGTTCTGGTGCACTCAGCCCATCATGTTGTTCTGGCGCGCTTTGCCACGCTAACCGTGATTGGATGGTGCTGTTCGGCATCGCTGCGACGCGTCAACATGATGCGCATCATTATGTGTTCCCGCGCCAGCCCTGCACCGTGCTCCCTGTCCTACCTCCGCGCCGGCATTGCACCGCCAGAAACGCATGTAGCGCAACATGCGCTGTGCTGCCGAGCAATTGGTATGTATTTCATGTTGTTGCTGTTCGGTCTGTTCCTGTGTGATTCGGTTTGGAGGTACTTTTGTTTCAGTCCCTGGAAGGTGGCACAGTGTGTAGTGTTCATGATTGCACACCTGAGGCCCAGGTTACCTTTCACCTGAGGTGTAGCGCGTACACTGAATTAAACAATCCGCTAGTGTACGGGGAACAGCTAATAAAATGCAATGTTACATGGGAGCTACATATGAATGCCACTACTTATGAATGCCATCAAATATACTCAGCTACTAAGACTCATCAAAGGTGCTGGCGCAGGTGCAGGGACACAAGATTGCTTGTCAACTGTCGGCACATATCCGGCATCACAGTCGCATGAAGGGTTCCTTCCTGGACCAAACCAACATGATCCATGCCCGCCGCACGTTGCCACATCAGCGCCGCAAAACCTCTTACATGTGGAATTAGCCACCTGCTTTTCAACCCTGTTAGCCAGCACACACGGACTCCCTGGCGGATATTTCAAGCAATTATATGCTAAGGAGGACTGGTAGAAAATCCCGCGGCGAGTTTGATCTGTGGGGCATTTGGTAACCGCACCAGCGGTTACGGACGCGGTTCCGTAGAAGAAGTTGTGGTGCATGTTGTATTGGCCGGCTGTGAGCAACGTGCTGTTGAGGAATCCAGTAGGGAGCGGACCGGAAAACTGGTTGTCGTGTAGGTTGCTGGTGGGTTGGGAAGAGGACGAGGAGCAACGGGAGAAAGTAAACTAATTGGAAGAAGTTGTGGTGCAGGTTGTACTGGCCCGCTGTGAGTAATGTGCTGTTGAGGAAGCCCGTGGGGAGCGGACCGAAAAACTGGTTGTCGGGTAGATTGTTGGTTGGGGGTGGGCATAGGTGGAACGCAGGTGGCATGCATGCATATGCAATACAGTACAAGGCATCTGGAGTGAGAGAGTGAGTTGCCAAGCGAGGAGAACGTGCAGAAGCATGTAGCTAACAAATGGACGATTAGGAAGTGGTTGCAGAGATAAAACTGGTTCGAGAGTTTTGGTCGGGTTTGAGAGCCACAGCAGTGACAAATGTGAGAGCAGGAAGAGTGACCCTAGTAGGAGTGGCAGGACTAACACGAGAGAGAGCTGAGGAAGCTGCAGGATGCCTGAGGGGAAGCTTCCATAGAAGCGGTTGCCTTCCAAATAGCTGATAGGGTTTGTGAGAATGAGTGGGAGAAAACATGGGAGGAGAGAGTGTGGGAGGAGAGAGTGTGGGAGCATGGGAGCATGGGAGCATGGGCAGTTCGCATTTGTGCCATGAAGATACTGAGGAGTCTACGAGTGTCAGTCAGAGGAGGAGAAAAAAACGGTGAGAGAGTGAAAGCCCAGCGAATCCCTTCTCCTGAGATAACATTGGAGTCATCGTTGAGAATCCTAAAGTTCAAAAACGCGCACAAGCAAGCACAGGCTTACAGCACAGTGAGCGCCTTGAGGTTGCTGAGGCCTTGTGGGATGGAGCCCGTGAAACGACAGTTGTCCATCAGACTGTTGGGGGAAAGAGGGGGATGATGCAAAGGAAGGAAAGCAGGAGACGTTGGATGGTAGAGACCATCGGCTCGGCATGTCATTTTTTATGACTCCATGGCATATCGTGGCATGACATGGCAAGGTGATGTAAGCCAGAGCAGGAAAGGGCAGGGCAGGGCCGCATGACATGTGGTGGAATGTGGTGGAATGTGGTGGCATGTGGTGGCGTGTGGTGGCGTGTGGTGGCATGTGGTGGCATGTAGTGGCATGTGGTGGTGTGTGGTGAAATGTGGTGGTGGCATGAGGTGGCATGAGGTGGCATGAGGTGACTGACATGCGGGAGAGGCGGGTGAGTTTGGTGATGGAATCAGGCATGGTGCCGTTGAAGGCTGCAAACTCCATCACACTGTCACAGTGGAAGGAAGGAAGGGAGAGCGGAATATACGAAAACGGGAGACGAAGAGGAGGAAGCGATGAGGAAGAAATGTCTGTAAAAGCAGCTTTTTTATATTTGCGTGAAGCAGCTTTTTTGTAACAATTGTGCTCACGTGAAGCACACTCGCCGGGTCATGGGAAAGCGACAACCCCCGCATTACAAAGCTTCGCTCGGTTTACCCGTAACAACATGTGCATGTGCCCAGGCGGGCACTGCAAGTTAAGGCACTCACAAGTCCGTGACACTGTCTGGGTGTTGAGAATTACTCAACAACTAACCAGGCACTGCAAGGCAAGGCTCTCACAAGTCGGTGAGGCTGGCCATGTTGCCCAGGTCTGATGGCAGAGGGTCCAATGGAACCCCACTTAGGAGGCATATCGTTGCGTGGCAGCGGCCTTGTTTAGTTAAGAAAGCTGACTTTTGAGTCGACTCACAAGTCGGTGAGGCTGACCATGTTGCCCAGGTCTGACGGCAGAGGGCCGTCCAGATAGGGGTTGCTGCTCATGAAGCTGGCGGGGGGGAGATGGAAGGAGGGAGGAGTGGGGTGACGACACGACATCGACAGGAGTGGGGGCGGGTGAGGCGAGGGGTTTGGACACGACAGGACCACTCGGACATTAAGGAAGAAGAGTGAGTGTTAGGCGGGGCGGGGAGGGGAGGGGAGGGGAGGGGAGGGGAGGGGAGGGGAGGGGAGGGGAGGGGAGGGGAGGGGAGGGAGGGAGGGGGGGAGGCTGAAAGGATACGCAGGTTGGTGAGGGAGGTGATAGAGGTGGGCAGAAGGCAGAGAGGGAAGAGGAGAGAGAGAACATCAGAAGCAGAAAGAGGGCATGGGAGGGCGGGAGGGTGACAGGATGCGCAGGTTGGTGAGGGAGGTGATGGTGGTGGGAAGAGGGCCTCGCAGACTGTTCTGATTGATGAACCTGCACGAGGGGCGTGGGGCAGGGGTTTGGAGATACGTGGGGGACGGGGAGGACAGGGGGGACGGCAGGTAGGTGAGGTGAGGTGAGGTGAGGTGAGGTGAGGTGAGGTGAGGTGAGGTGAGGTGAGGTGAGGTGAAGGAAACATCTTTGGCAAGGAAGGAAGCACATACGCCCTCCTTGTATGAATGCCCAAGGACAACGCAAGGACCAACAAGATGCTGATGAGGTTTTCTGCGCAAGGCACGAAGGGCAAGCATGCGTACAAGTTCTGCAGCATGGGGAGGTCGCCTATGGTGCTGGGGAGGGTGCCCGTGAACCAGTTGGTGTCTATGTAGCTGGTGGGGGGGGGGGGAAGTAGGGGGAGAGCGGAGGGCGCAGAGGGAAGGGCATTCTTTTTATGCGCCTCGAAAACGTTCCACAGTGGGGGAAGGTCGCCTATGGTGCTGGGGAGAGTGGCGGTGAACCAGTTGGTGTCTATGTAGCTGGTGGTGGGGGGGGAAGGGGGAGACGACGGAGGGGGAAGGGCAGGGGGTAGGAGAGGTCAGGGGTAAGAGAGGACAGGGGGGGAGGGGGCGGGGGGCGGAGGAGACAGGGGGAAGTGTTGGGATGTTTCATGAGGCAGAGGGACAGGTGAGGAGAGGAGAAGGGAACAACCGGGGGTAAAGTAAAGATCTAGGAATGGCGGGACAATGAGGCTCACCGAGAGGGGAGGGGCCGCACAGCAAATTCTGAGTCGCTTTTGAGAATTCTCAAAAGCACAGGGTGTGGGCGTGGGGAAGAGGGCAGGGGCAGGTGAGTTGGTGCAACTTGCTGGCCCCGAATGTTGGTCCAATGCTGGCTCTGGATGCTGGTTACCGCTCTGGATGCTGGTTACCGCTCTGGATGCTGGTTACCACTCTGGATGCTGGTTACCACTCTGGATGCTGGTTACCACTCTGGATGCTGGTTACCACTCTGGATGCTGGTTACCACTCTGGATGCTGGTTACCGTTCTGGATGCTCACAGGTAGTAGGCGTTCTTGAGATTGCTGATGCACTCAGGGACCGTGCCAGAGAAGTGATTGTAGCTGATGCGCCTGTAGCGAATGGGCGCACGCAGTGAAAGGGGGAGTTGAGAGGAGGCGGACAGGGATACAGGTTTGCTAACAGGGAGAGATGTGAGGGGTGGGCATGCGCTGCAGAGGGTGCAAGCAGGGATACAAGTGTGAGAGGAGAGAGAGGAGAGAGAGAGAGAGAGAGAGAGAGAGGAGAGAGAGGAGAGAGAGGAGAGAGAGGAGAGAGAGGAGAGAGAG